TAGCAAAATTAATTTCATCACTCGGTAGTTATTGAGCACCTACTGTGTGCCAGGTCCCCTGCCAGATGCTTGGGAATACAATAGTGAATGAGATAAACTTTGTGTCTTCCTGATCGAGAAGTGGAGTTGTGGTGGGGAGGACAGATGTCAAGAAAATGATAATGGCAAGTGGCCAGGATCATTTCAGAATGTTGAAGTATCACAGGGAAGGGCAAGCCTGACCTCCCCCTGTGCCACACCAGCACTGGAAATGTTTCCCTCTTTGACCCTGGCCTCTGGGCTCCATTTTCCTGTGGGATTAGTAGGATGCTGCTAGGGTGTGTGTATCCCCCGCCCTGTCTCCCCGTGAAATGAAAGGTAGCTTCTATTCATCACTAGCAATTGCTGATAACTCATTCTAAACTTATGTGTAAGATAGCGAATGCATGCACTTGATCTTAGCCAAAAGGAAGAGAAGCAATAGAATGCATACGGTGTACTAAGTACTATATACAAACCATTGTTCTAAGCTTACAGAAGCATTAACTGTATGGTCCCGGGTTTCAGTACCAGTGTAAGGCCGCCACAAAACACAGCAGACACTGGAGTAAGGGAAAGGGTTTATTGGGGAAAACCCAGCAGACTGGAGGGAAGGGGCGAAGGAGAAAGAAAAAAGGAGAGTGTAAGAGAGACAGAGGAGAGGAGCTAGTGAGGAGAGAAGAGAGACGAGAGGAGGAGAGGAGAGCAGAGGAGAGGAGCCAAGAGAGGGGAGCAAAAGAGAGAAGAGGAGGCTAGAGAGCTGAGAGAGAGCAAGAGAGCCACATGTTCAGGAACAGGTCCTTTTAAAACTTTGCCAGAGGGCGGGCAGAGAAGCAGGAGCAGCAAATCCCATTAGGATGGGGGTGGAGCTTGACGCCAGTGGTTGGACCATATGGCCGCCTGGCTTCCAGGAATGGCAGTGGGGGCTAGAGCCTAGAATGGTGTCAGGGTGTAGATCGCCGCCATAGGTAAAACTGTGCCATTTTCCTAACATTAACCACATAAAATTTAAAAATATGGTGATGTCAAAGTTATGGTTCATTTAACTGGTACATGCATTTAAATAGCAGTAAAAGATCAAACATTGATTTTATGTATATTTAGTGCACTTTTATAACAAGATAAGTTATTTTTTGAGTGTTTATTACGTGCAAAGCTAGACTAAGTGCTTTGAATTTATTTTGTTATTGAATCCTCTCCAGCAACTTTAGGAACCAATATTGATATTTTTCCCTCTTTACATATAAGAAAACTGAACTCAGAGATTAATGGTTGGCCCAAGTTCTCAAAGCTAGTGAGTGGCTCAGTGCAGAATCAAAACCTAGGTTTTCTGAGTCTGGAATGAAATGTACTATATCCTCCCCTCTAATAAAGTTCCAGATGTTCATTAGGTCTTAAAACAATTTGAAGAAAATTTGAGAAAATGATTATCATAGAACACAATGAGGTAGTCCAAACAGTATCTGACAGCTCAATCCTGCTGTGCAGCCTCGTGAACTATACCTGTTGAGATTTCATCTATGTCTCTGTTCATTGTCAGTTAAATTACAAATAAAGATGATTGTGCTTTATCTCTCTAGACATCACAGTTCCATGACTGTGGGTAAGATCTTTTTTCTGGGTAAATATCTTCTGTTTAGGTTAATTTCTTCAATTAATGACCTTAATTGAATCTAAGGTATTCTGATATGAAAGACAGAAAGTAGCAGCACTTCGTGAATTGGTAATAAATGATATACCTCCCCCATCACCACCACCCTCCCACTTCAGCCTTTCAAGATCTCCAGCTTTACCTACAGAAGCCTCATCATGCCTACCCGTTATTCAAGATATGCTATGACGGCTATCTTCTATTTTTCTTATTTTTTATTTTTCTTTGAGGCATAGCTATTCATTACTTATTTGCCATATCACAGTAGCCTCTCTGTCTCCCTGTCTCTGTCACTCTCACACACTCAAACATTCACACTCACACACATATATTTGCTTCATTTAAAGCAAATCATCATGGCCAACTTGGCATACTGCTTTAGTTTCCCCAGGTTCTCCCATGATTTATTTCAGGTAATCTACTTAAATCCTATTTTAAAACACCAATACAGGTGAAGAAACCTAAATTCAAAGGGATTAAGTACTTTTTCCAAGGTCAAAGGTGATGAGAAGAGCTAGAACTAGAATCGTTGGACTCCAAATCCAGTATTCTTTCTGGAGACTGCTGCTGCCAAGGGGACACAGCAGCAACTCCTCGCCATTCATTCTATCTATAATACTCAACACATTGCCAGTTGCTCAGTGGGATTTACATCTTTTTTTCTTTAATTTATGAATGAAAAAATAAAAGGCATTCAAGAATGATTTAATTCAACTATTGAATTGTATAAGGAATGCAACAGAAATCCACTAAAGTTAAATGAATTATCCAGATTTGTTAAACTTTGAACCAATTTTCCACAGTAATAAGCCATTGCTGTCAATAGATTTTATTTATGGCTTTTACTATTCTATATTTTTAACTTGGCTTGGTCTGGTTTCAACTTGTAACTGCTTTTATTGTAGCTGTTTTTTCAATAGAAAAAGAAACATCCTGGTGGTTACTGACAGGAAGACTTCTGAACATCATCACGCCTGGTGGGCAAGAAGTTTTTCAAAATCATTGCTGTTCTAGGTGGTTAAAGGGAGAGTTAAAAATTCAGGAAACAGAAAATTCCAGTGTTGAAATAGCAAAGAGCAGTAGTTTCCCATTTCCTTCAACTTTGCCTTCCTTGAATGTTGGAATCTCCTCTATCTCCATCAGTCTTTGGGCCTCTCTCAGCGAAGATGGAATTCCACCTGCACTAGTTAGTAACCGGGTGACTTTGGGAAATTCGCTGACTGTCCTCACTTATAACCTAAGAAAAGAATGCCTTTTCAAAGGATGCCTGTGAGTACTCAGAGAAACGACTGCTTCAAGCACTGGCATATAGAAGGGACCTTTAAATAGTCCCTTTCCTCTCTGGGAATCGGAAACCCATCAAGAAAGATGTCCCTGGCTCTGCCTTGACAAATATCTTTCAACATTGGTTTAGTTTAGTGTACAAAACTTAAAACCTTACAAATTAATCTGTTGAGTATTCCCAGTAAACAAAATGCTACAATAAACCAAGCATGCAGAATAGCTGATCAGGGGGCAGAGATTAATTAGTCAATTATTACATCCCAGCATTTTTATAGCTGCTTTTTCTCACAGCATCTTAAAAATGAATTTAGAACACAGAATCGCTACATCACATTTGAAAGCTAATTGTTAATACATCATCTTGGCAACATTCTTTTAGCCTTCTTTATAATAAATCCCAGAACATTGTATCTTTTAAATATGTTTGATTATATCCCTTGTTTACCTGTTTCATCTGCACCTATTGGCCATTTCTTCCCTAATTTACAATTATTTAAAATTTACTTAAACTAGTACCTCCTGATTGAACACCAAAATAAATAGAATCCTGGGCAGTTATTTTGGTGAAGTGATTGAGTCACTGCTGGGAGGGCGCTCACATCCCATATCAGAAATCCTAGTTCAAGACGCAGCTACTTCATTTCAGATTCAGATTCCTACTAATGCATACTCAAGGCGGCAGCAGGTGATGGCTCAAATACGTAGGTCCTTACCCTCCACGTGGGAAACCATGCTGAAGTTCCAGGTTCTTGGCTTCAGACTGCCTCAGCCTTGGCTGTTGAAGGCATTTGACAAGTGAAGAAGCAAATAGAAAACAATGTCTCTAACAATTTCTCTGTTTATTGCTTTTTAATTTTGTTTGTAAAGCACAGAAATTTTTAAATATATAGCCCTATGAATAATTTGTTGTGATAGACTTTATTAGCTATAATAATTGAGAGAGACCTCTAAAATATAAGTAACCCAAGTCTTCCCTTCTAACACAGCAAAAGTTTTTTGGAGTCATAGTATTTGGAAATTATGAAATTATGTTTTTAGCATTGCAAGAAGAAATCATCCAAGAAATGATTCTTCTCTGCACACAGCCAAATTAATTCAACTCCAAAGGCCCAGAATTCAGTTGAGCACAGATGATTCTGAGCTCAGCAGCTTCTCCAACCACACCCTGACTGTTCCCTCTCGAATCAGTCCCGTTCCTCACTCACCTCCACCACCAAGAGTTTGTTCTGAACACCACTTTGTGTTGGAAAGTAATATGTGGCTTGCATTTATCTTTTTTTTAAAAACTATTCCCTTACCCTGATTACATGAACACTGAACATGTAAGTTAATATCTCATAACTGAGGTTGTTTAAGAACCATCAATGAGATGTGATTATACAAAAAAATCTGATTTTTACTGAGCACTTCAAAAAGTTTGGGGAAAAAAAGAATTCAAAGTATGGGCTTAGTTTCATGCAAAGATATTTCAGAATATGTGGAAAATACATGGTGTGAGAAAACTGCTCAAATTTCAAGAATTAAACATGCATTTTAAATTTCATTTTCCATGATCTCTTTTTAGTACCCTCATACAGGATGTACTTGGAAGTTACCCACTCCTTCTGGTTCTGGTTTTATCAATAATTCATCTAGATTTGGGCTATGATGAGCACAATTCAGTAATTAATCCCCTGACACTACTTCACACCTTGTACAGATTAATTTTTATGTGTTCATATCAGTACTATAAATTCTTTAAGTAGGTTTCATCCTTCTATCTGTTAGAAATAATGAAAATGACGCTAGCAATAGTCTATTATGTCATTATATCATAGCAGTCCTATGGGTTTGGATGATTAAACCGTGTAATAGACAGCAAAACTAACTCCAATAACTTAGAGTGGTGGAGTCATAATTCAAATTCAGATAATGTCACTACAAAATTAGCTGTCTTTAGTACTGTAATAAATCCTACCTAATGTGCCTATCTCAATGCCTTGCATGGTAAGAACCAACAAACATTGTTTTGATTTCCCTTGTTGATTTTTTTTTCTCTCCTTTGCAGATGGACCCCCATGAGAACATCTTACTGAGCACTCTAGAGATAAAAAATGAAATGGCCACATCTGAGGCTGTGATGGGACTTGGAGACCCCAGGAGCACAATGCTGGCCTATGATGCTTCCAGCATCCAGTATCGAAAAGCTGGCTTACCCAGGCATAGCTTTGGCCGAAATGCTCTGGAACGACACGTGGCACAAAAGAAAAGTCGTCTGCGGAGACGTGCCTCTCAATTGAAAATCACCATCCCCGACTTGACTGATGTGAATGCCATAGATCGGTGGTCCCGCATATTCTTCCCAGTGGTTTTTTCCTTCTTCAACATTGTCTATTGGCTTTATTATGTGAACTAAAACATGGCCTCCCCTGGGAAGCAAGGACTAGATTCCTCCTCAAACCAGTTGTACAGCCTGATGTAGGACTTGGAAAACAAATCAATCCAGGACAAAAGTGATGCTAAAATACCTTAGTTGCTGGCCTATCCTATGGTCCATTTCATACCATTTGGGTTGCTTCTGCTAAGTATTGAATACACTGAGGTCCTTGCGATTTGCCAGTTGAAATGCAAATGATTTGTATACATGCTAGCAAGATTGAGAATGAGTGTTCCATTTTATCTGCTTAGTATGAATACTACTCAGTGGGAAATTATGTAGAAGATATTCTTAGACTCAATAGCATTGCCAGTCATTTGACTCAGAAGTGGTCATATCCAGTACTCCTCCTCTTCATTGTTAAGGTTGGCATGCTATTGAGATGGCCCTGTGCTTATTGAAATATTTGCAACACCTTGCAGACATGTTACTTAAAGGTGATCGATCGATGCCTGTCTTATTAAGGTAATTGATGGTTTACTGGGAAGAAATGCCCGTTGGACTCTAGAAGATAGTCATGTGTTGGGAGCAGGACAGGGATTTCAAGGCAGAGATCTGAAAAACCAACTTGGCCAGTCTCTTTGCTTCAACACAAGGAATCAATTATATTGGAATTTAGAAATGGAGTGACTTCTGAACAAGACAGTACATGGGGAACAAAGAAATTTTTGCTAAGAAGTTATTTTTCAGGTGGTTAAAATTAGTTAATAACACAAAGCAAAGTAGAAAATCCAGAAATGACAATTTTAACAAAACTCATGCAAGCAAGCATGACCTTGATCAGCTCCACACAGCACCTGATCTATATGTACTGTGTCCAGTGGCAAAGTGTAGAGAGGAATATTTTTTCCAATATCAAAAGATTTTGACAGAATCTTAAGAGTTTTTTTATAGTTTATTTAGTTAAAAGTTAACTATGAAATAGATAAGATAGGAAAAGTTTAAGTATCTTAGATGTTCAGGATAGAAGGGAGGTCCTTCTAAAATATAAATATAGAACACAAAGATTACAAACACTTTTTCTCAATGTCAGTTGTCTTTACAACGTCTCCTTATAAATTTATTTCTGAATTTAATACGTTATTTTGAAAGGAGAATTTGTTCATTGCTTTAAAGAATGGTCCTCTCTGGTTTTTCTTGCTTCTGAAATTCCATTTACGTTTATAAGAGACAGAAAAAGTGAGGCCTTGGAGAGTGAGTGAATGGTTTTCTTAGGTACAATGAAGTTCACCTTTCAATTTTTGAAACCACACAATACTTACAAGAGTACGTGCACTGAAGAGTTCATTTAGGGTCTTGTGGGTTTGATTTCTAAAGGGTACTTTGACTGTTTATGCAAACAATGTGCATAATCATGGAAAAAATGACAACTATTGTACAATTGGATAACAGCAAAGACATAGTAACATGATGAATGTTATGAGCCTCAGTTGATATTGCAGAAAAATATATACCTGATAATCAGGCAGGCATGATATATTATTTTTATTCTGTTTTTCAATTACTGTGTTTCTATACTAATTGGGCATATGCATTCATATGTTGGACAGAAAAAACAAAGATCGTGTATTTTATTTCTATCAATGGGAGGCTCATATTTTGCTTTTCTTGTATAAAATAATTGCTGAATTTTCTTTAAGGTTTGATTTGATTGGGCATTGTTTTAAGGATGACTTTGCTATTTCTATTTAGGATCCAAAACAGCCTTTCAGAGTAAAATCCTGACTGTGCATAGTAGTCAAGGCCAGTATCTACCTGTTGATAAAATGTATGATTTTGTCCCCTCGTGGCTTAGCAACTTAGAATATGATGGAGTCCTGTTCTTCCACTTTAACTATCACAAAACAACAAGATGAAAGATTTATTGTTCAGCTTTGTGAATTTGTCCCAATGTTCAATGCTATTTCTTTCCACCAGTATAGGAAACTCTAGCCCTATATTTTGATTATATACTTGAACATCTGTGAATATAATCTTCAGGCAGAATCTGATCAAGGTTCTTCCCATAGGCTCAGAGTAGATATTTATCAAGTTTCTCCAGGGACATACTTCTCCTAGGCAATCATTTTGTTGGGGCATCACACAAATAAAAGTGCCTGTCTCTTGTTGCCAGGGGATAAAGTTTGAGTAAAAAATAAAATCAGGAAGGAGCATATTGATAACTCAGGGGCACAACTCCAAAATGCCATTCTGGAAAGGGTTTTCTAGAGACAACTCAGAGCCCAAATCTAGAAGTGGGCTTCTATTTGCAATTACTGTAAAAGCCATAAACAAATCCTTGTTATTGTCATTTATGGTTACAACAAAATTTTGGATGTTCACAGGGAAGTCAAAAGTGTGATCTAGATCAAAATGGAAGGGAGCCTTTTCACAGCAGGAGCCTCATATGGCCAGGAACCCGTTTGTATTTTCAAGGACACAAAGAAGCTAGACAGAGGAGAAAAGACCTTGATTGGATGCAGTGCCCTAGAATGAAAAACCATATATTGGCACTCAGTAACAATGTAGGTAGAAACAACTGACTCATCCAGAAATAACAGTAGATGTAGAATTTATAATTCTTAGACTATATGGTTACTCTAGTTGAATTGAAATGTAGTTATCAAATACAGGGAAGGGTGCTAGACCTGATACATCTAGAAAGACCAGTCGGCTTGCTATGCAGAGATTAAGAACTAAAGGACCACAATGGTGTACTTTGGCAATTCTAATATGGTATTACTATCAGTTTATACATACGTATAGTTTTTCATTTGATTATAAAGTAGCCCGATAGCCAGCAATTAAGGTGTTTTTCATCTTTGTGAAATTCATAGGCAAATTCTGACTCTAAAATGCACAGTCTCAATGAAATCTTTGATCTCAATCTGTATATACATATTGTACATGACTGCTAGTAGGTGTGAAATGCATTTCAGAATTGAAAACTCATGCAACATAATCATGTGTTTGCATAGGAATGTTAAAATTCTTTCTACTGCAATTTAATAACAGGGGAAAAGACTCAAGCAGTACCATCTAGACCTTTTCTCTACTCATTTCTTCAAAAGCAGTGCTAAGTAAAATAACAATAATAATAATGGTTTATGAACCAAAAGACTTTACATTCTAGCATTAGGAACACAAAAAATGTCAGCTTAAAAAAGCACAACACATACAGAAAGTGCAGTGGAACGCATATGGGGAAATGAATCACGTTTATTTTACACCAGACCTGCATTAAATTGGCGACTAGGACAATTGCCATTTTCTGTGGGTAACTGTGTTCCAGTTTTATAATTCATATTCAACAAAAAACAGCAAAACTGCATCAACAAAAACAGATCTTACAACATAACTACATGTATATATATGTATATATAGATCCATGTAAACATACATACATATATGTATTCATATGTTGGAACACAAACGGATTAAGCCAATATGTTTTGTTTCCTTCATCAACCCAGTGTATGAGTATTTTTACTGTGGCAGCCAACCATCATCCTATTGAAATAAGTAATACAGGGTACTGAGCATTTCTCTATCAGCAAACCAATGCCTCCAGTTCTTATGAACCATTGCACAGTTTGACACTAGTACTGTACCTCGGAACATCAGAAGTGAACTAAGTTAACTAGTTCTCACATTGCTTATCTAATTGCTCTTTTCAAGGGAACAAATAACATTCTCCTCTGATGATTTAAAAACAAACTATGTCTTAAGAAAATGGAAAATGAAAAAACTCTTCCCCTGGAGGAAGAAAAAAAAAAATGGAACTAAGCCTGTCATGCTGGTTAGGGCAAAATACAACTGTAGCCATCATGCCATTTTGCTAAGTGTACAGAGTATGTGTAATGTGAGCAACCATAACTCCACTGAGTGTGTGTAAATATTTAAACAGATTTCTTAAATATTTTTACCTTCTGGTTTGTATTTTATGGTAAGGCAATGTGCTAATTCTGTTTATCGCTTAGGTTGATGTCTTATAATATGTAAATAATTAAACATGCTGTAAATGAATAGTCAGTAGGTAAAAATAATTGTTTAGTTTTTTCCCATGATTTTTATTTTTTACTAGCTAAAGTTAATGGAGCACCCCAGAAGAGTAATTTAAACACCCTTTTGCATATATGGTTTGGGAATCCCAGATAGAAGGGTTTCAGTTTGCTATCACACACAGTGTTTCTCTCTCTTTCTCTTTCTCTCTCCTCCCTCTATACATACACACACACACACACACACACACACCCCACAACCTTTCACCCCTTGCTTGCTCATTTTGACTGTCTCCCTCTATGGGAACTGCTGTAGTGTTTGAGTAGTCTGTAATCAAGAGATAGCCTTAGAAATGGCAATTGGGAAAAGAAGGTATCATTGATAATAGAGTTCTTTGATATGTCACAGTTAAAGAAACCAAAGTTTGCAACCTCTTGATTTTCAAAGAGTAAAAGCTTGTACTGGTGGCACTACAGACAAAAGTCATTACTCATATCAGCTCCAAAAATTCGGTATACATGATGCATACTAGGAGACTTTTTTTAATAATAGTACTTTGTGCTTTGATAGTATTATTATTCCTATCAACCAAAGACCCCAGAATTACTTAAAAAAAAAAAAAAGAGAAAATGGAAAACACTGCTGCACACCAAAGGTTTAAAAATATTTTCCAAATGCACTAGGAACATCATAAAAAAATAGTAAGGAGTCAACAGAACGCTGATTAAGATACTGCCCTAAACAAATCATTCATTTAAAAAAGCACTGTTAAATAGCTGGGTCTTTTTTTGGGGGGGAGGGGTAGAAATTGAAGTAGAACTTCTCTGTAGATACAGGCAAAATTCTGACATTAAGTTTCAATTTGCTTTGAGAAGTACTTTTAGTGAAGATAAACATGATATAATCTGATGAAAAACAGAATGTAAATCCTTTGGCTTCCGAAACAGAATGCCACTCCCCTGCCCCATGTCCTCTAATCCAATGCCCACATGTGTAACCTGCACCATTTGAAACATGTTGACATGTCCATCAGCTTGCACTTTTTTTAGTTGCATAATTGGAGTTCAGTCATGGTCATTTTCAACATCATTCACTCAAGCAAATATGCCTAGTTTAAATTTGACGACATTTTAATTTTTCTTCGCATGGGTGTTTAAATAGTTCTGTTACAAATACTGTCCCTGCGCAGTTCTGAATTGTCCTTTTATAAAAAGTGATATTCTAGTTTCTTCATAAGGTAGTGATTATCAGCCTTACTAATTACCTTGTAGCCTTTCTTAACATGCACATAATGCACATTTTTTCCAATGACTAGAAAATGCAAAACACAAGTGGATATCATATGTTGCATCTATTTTCATGTCTTTCTAAAAACAGGACTACTAAAATCTCTGGGATACATGAGATAGTAAAAACACGAGGATTATAAATTAATAGCACATAACAATTATTTTCTTGAATTTAAACTTATTGCAGCCAGTTTCAGCATGTAAATATATAATAATGTTGGCTAGTGTGTCATTCTTCAGCTAAGAAATATAAATAAAAATTAAAATGTTTATGTGTGGTTTCGTTGTGTCAAAAAGTTATTTTTTGAACTATTAGTCTGAGTTACATCGTAGAATAATTGCTTCTGTGAAAAGTTTGGGAATCTGGTACCTGCTGATAGGCAAACTTGAATTTTAGCTGTGATTTGCCACTTTGTAGTTGTGTAACTAAGTTCACCTTCCATGTACGGTACATTTGGATATTAAACTATATAACTCAAGAATTCCTGAGCACACAGGGCTGGTACTGTAGTGTAGCAGGAAAAGCTGCCACCCACAGCACCAGCATCCCATATGGGCTCCACTTTGAGTCCTACCTGCTCCCCTTCTGATCCAGCTCTCTGCTATGGCCTGGGAAATCAGTAGAAGATGGTCCAAGTGCTCAGGTCCCTGAACCCCTGTGGAAGACCTGGAAGAAACTCCTGGCTCTTGGATAAGGATCAGCCCAGGTCCAACCGTTGTACCCATCTGCGGAGTGAACCGCTGAATGGAAAACCTTTCTCTCTATTGCTTCCTCCTGTTCTCTGAAACCCTACCTCTCAAATAAAATCTTTTAAAAAAAGTACCATTCTGGAATATTTACCATATATCATGAGTGTTATTACCATATGTAAGGATAACTAAGAACTTGGCTTTGATAATGAAAACATGGCTAAAATAAGTTCATTTATTTAAGATTCAACATCTCTATTGAAGATGTTCTGTTCACTAATTTTGTCTTCATTTAAGCCTTACATACTTACATTCGAGCTTCATAAGAGGAAGTATGTTTCCCCCTGTAAGTGTAAGAACCTGGATTTCTACCCAAGCTGAAGTCGCCACTAAAGCCTTGGAAGTTCTTCCCATCTCATCTTTAAAAGTGATGAGTTACTCATCAAGAAATTTGTTGAGAGCCTACAATCTGCAATAGCTTGTACTGATACTGGAAAAACAGAGGCAAACTCCAAGGTCTGTACTGTTATGGAAGATGTGGCATCTCTAAAATGCATTGGGAGTCCCCTGTGACCTGTTCAGTAAGGAGACTACTGCCTTTCCTCCTTCGTGACTTCGGAATGTCAAAGAGCACACTAATGGACTCTGTTAACCTGAAGAGGTAGACTATGGCACAATTGTCCTGTAAGTTCTCAGGTTAAAAGGGTTTACAGCCACCAAGGGGTAAACAATACTGAAAAGACACTTCTACATGATGGGGAAAAAAAACTTACATTGTAAAACATAAAGCCCAAGAATGTGAAATTGAGTGCATTGGCATTCCTCATACTATGTTCTAGCATTTCAGTGCAGAAAGAGAGCACATCATACCTAAATACAGGCACGTGCTCACGTAAGTGGTGGTTTTGGTGGTATGTAGAGGTATGTGCACGTGTGTGTATGTACATGTGCATGCACACTAGTCCCTGTATGTAGAAGGGAATGTCATAGGGTCAGTAAGAAATGTCACGAGAATTGGAATTGATGTTCCAAGTGTAACTTGAGAAAGGAAAAATCTTCAGACATTTTACTCTCCCCAAAACTGGTCAAGTGTTGGGGAAAGTTCCCCTACTTTTCTCCTAACTTCTATAATTTCTTAGTTAACTCTTTTATAGATTTCCTCGGTCTCTTCTGAAACTTAAATCTGAAATAATGCAGTATGTTTCATGTAGAATGTCTCTGAGCCGTTAAGTCTACATCCAAGAATAATACCAGTTTCTTGACTTTGCAGTGATGACTACCCACACAGCCAGTTCCTAATCTTTGATTACCTAAAGCATGTACTAGCAAATCCAGGTTAGCACAGTTGTTGCCTACGATCTCTCTAACAGAGCATAAGACAAATGTGCAAACCCTCTCTGAAATTCTACACCACTGTATCGCTCTACCATGTGGACTAGAACCAAGGAACAATCTTGATGATTAATCCCAGAACAATTAGTCTTCTCATCCAAGTATTGATCTGTGCATGTTCTGTCTGGGCTTTTTCTCCATTTCTGTTCCAAACAGCTAGGCCATTTGTATTCATATATTTGTTGTTGAACTTCAGAGAATTTTTACTGGAAACATAGGAGGAGCTGCTAGGGCATTCTAAGAGAGTACATGTATTGTCCCCTAAGTACTGAAGAAAACACATGTATCTTTAAGAAGGCGGGAGGACAATTTCTCGGGGGAAAAACAGCAGGTTCCACAGTGTTGGAGATTTCTGCTCTAGTTAATATTAGTGACCTGGAGAAATGATGGATCTCAAAGATGGCATAGTGACACACCAGAAGCAAGGCCCTGGGCATTGCCCTAGACCTGCTTCTAACATGGCAGAGTCCTGGCAGGCATTTGGTGCAGTGTTCAGGATACTTAGGATACCCTCATCCCATATCAGAATATCTTGTTAGTCTCCTTTCTCTTCTGTGTCTGCTCCAGTTTCCTGCTAATGTACACCCTGGGAGGCAACAGGTAATAGCTCAAGTAATTGGATCCCTGTCACCCATGAGGGACATGGTTTAGCCCTGTCTGTTGGAAGTATTTGGAGAGTGAACCAGCATATAGAAACTCTCTTTTTCTCTCTGTGTGTATGTGTGTGTGTCAAAATTAAAATAAATACAAATTAAAGCAGTACGGTGCTAAGAGCACGGAAAAATAATCAATCTGTGCTAAGTCAGCACAAAAGAAATGTGGTATTGTTATATAGCTTCACTCAAGAAGTTAGACTCATCGGTACACTACACTCTAATATGCTACCTAGTGAGTCATTGGTCTCTCTGTCCCAGGAAGTGATGTGAGAATCAACAGGATGAATTTGACATTGGAGCTGAATATACTATTCCTAGAAAAAGACATCAAAAGGGTAGGGATAATCAAGTTCTGAAAGTTGGGAGGCTGAGACCAGAATTTGAGTAAAAGATTAATATATTTCATTATCCTATATCTTGCAAGCTCAAATGTACACAGGTTTGGCAAGAATTATAAACATGTAATATAGGACTAGTGTCAGAGTAGTAAAAATATATATAGATTGAGAAAGACACTATCAAAAGAGGCACCACTGTTAGGCCCTACACAATTGTCTTGAGGAATTGCAAGCCTGGTGTTGCCAGATTAATTTTAGAATGCAAGAAACCCACAAAAAGAATCTTTCACTTCCAGGACAGGTCCAATACAGACAGGACAATTTTGTTTTTCCTCTGCTCAAAAGTTCCAAGCTTATGTCCTGCTGCTATTATCCTCAAGCCAAGTTTGAAGAGGGAGCACACTAAAGACTCTGTGAGATCATATGTAGACTAAACAAACTTTGATGCCCATTCGAACTGTGGCAAGATCAGATTTCCTGAGGCTGACCCCTTAAAAACCTAAGAAAGGAAAATAGGGTTTTTATGTTTTCTCAGGACAAGAAAGTGATAGAAATACTTTTAGCATACAAAATTTCAAATAGCAGTTTTCACGATGTGAACAGGCTGATTGGCTTTTACACAACTCACTTCGAGGGGCTTTGTCTCCATCTTCTAACTCAGAAGCCCCTTGTCCTCCACCAACGTTTCCTAGACTCTTTGAGCTGTGGGAGGGACTGAGAACAGACATCTCCATGGAGAGGGGGTTTTGGTAAGAAGTAAAGGGGCTACCAAGAGGCAAGGCAAGGTTGGGGGAGCCATGGAGAGGCAAGGGGAGCGCAGAAGTGTAGAACTCAATGGGACACTATCACTGAAGGAGCCGGGACTCAACTACATCAACACTTGTGGCAGTGGAGCTTGGGGCATAATTAAACGGGTGTGGAATCTGTTCCTAAACTGTCGCCACTCTATAGACGGCATGTGGAGTGGAGTTTGGTGAATGATTCTGAAGTGAAGATCTGTGAATAATGATCCAGAAACTTCTGGATGAAGCAGCAGCAGGGAGAGGGATGACTGTCAATGGGAAGGAGGAATTTCATTCTAACTTGTGGGTAATTGTAATCACTGTATATAGTTGATACACAAAAATAGAAAAATCACTGAGTCATGGTCCCACTTTTATTGTGTCCTGGAGAAGACCAAGGGTGAAAAGGAGCAAGAAAGGGAAGGAGGGCGAGTAGAAACAAAGGGAGGAGGGGAAAATAAATTAGAAGCATTCTCAGCTCCTGAGGCCAGCCTCCAGCTCCTTCCTCGAAGCTGAGAAGTTAATTCACTTGACAGAGTTAGGCGCATGGCTTTTGCCCCTTCTCTGCACAGGAGGGCAGTGATCGGGACCACACAGCTTCAGGTTAGTTCTGGAGATGCAGCACCTTTGAGAGTAGAGTTGGAAAAAAAGGCCAAATATTTAAGGGAGACAGAAGGAAGAAGTATTTATTACTAAACTTCCACTCCATCTTTACAGTTCAGATGTTACTATGAAAAGCTGAAAATAGTCAAACTCGGATAATTTGATGTGAGAGTAAAGGGTTGATTAAATAAACCTAATAAGTATCTTAAATACTTCTAAACAATACTGAAAGTATACTTTCTTGTTTGTATTCTGACTTTAAATATAGCTATTTTTTACACTACCCTCTTTTAGAACAATTTTGACTTCCAATATGCAGGAATATGTTGCCGGTTTTGATACCTTGGTCCAAAATTAAAGGCTGAATTGACTATACTAATAGAGTTCAGAGACAGAAAGCACACCTTTGTGGTCATCCGGTCAACTGGGCACAGGAAGCTGAAGTTTTGCAAGTGATTGAGCAAGTTTCTGGATGTGCAGGCTAATAAAAGCTCCTGAAAATTGTGTGCAATCCATGGAAAGGGAACGTCAGTGTTCTGGGAACATCAGTACAAGAGTAGACCAGGATAGAATTCACTTAGTTTCTCTACAGGCTTACAGAGACCCTTGTAGGAATAAAAGCTCCTTAAGGTTGGCAACCTTTCAGAAGAGGATTGCCAAATCTTTATTTATTCATTTTAATTTCTCATTCCTCTTGCCAGGAATTCATTTGAACATTTAGAGAATCTCTTGCTATATATAAAATTAAACTATTGAAGCATACAGAGTACAAAATGATTAATAAATAAAAACTTTTAAATGTTTAAGATGC